AGAAACTGCTCATCTCCAAAGACTCTTCTAGGGATTGCCTCAACCTTGTAGGCTTCTTCACTGCTCATTAATTGATGGAGCAGCTTTCTGAAGGTACCCAAAACACTTCTGCACCATAAAGCTTAATGGAGCTCTGAACTAGGCATGTCAAAATTACAGCATTTTGGTTTTTTTTTAATTATTCTCATATTTATGACTTCTGCAGATTGCTGACCGAGAGATGCATGCTGTGGTGCTAATGCAGACCCCCGACTTCTTGAAGGTCTGTTATAATGTTTGTCCTCCTGTGGATTCCAGCTGTCGGGTTCATGGACACACCAATAGCACTTCAGTGTCATCTGCAGATGATGCCTTAGGTCACACAATGTTTTTTCCAGAAAGACCGTTAGCCAGCTACATCAACAGAAACTATATTTGCTGGCATTAACATGGAAACAAGTTGAAATAAAAACATAATTTTGTGGTGTTCACCAAACAGACCCCTCTCTTGAAAGCCAAGGTACTTAGTCCACCTCACACTTCCCAGCAGGAGGCACAAGTTATGTACACACAGCCCATAAGCTCCCTGTCCAAACAGGCCTTATGACCATTGCCATGAGAAGTTCAAGTGATCCCAAGGATGACTTCATTGCCAGGCTGAAGAGCTGCCCTGACACCTAGTGCTAGCTGGCATCTTCTCAAAACTCACAGAAAATTTTTCCAAAGCATTGAAACCCACTGCTATTCCCTCCTTGGCTAAATTACAGGCAGTTTCTCTCCCTGTGACTCCTCTGTTATGGTTTCAGGGCAGAAGGGAAGCAATGTAGAAGGACTCCTGCCCTCTCCTGACAAGCAGGTAGAACGAGACCGGTGTGGGTGGAGCTGGTGGGATGGTGAAGTCCTGCCTGCTCCTGGAAATGCAGCGCTCAGCAGCCCAACCTCTCAGCACCAGACTCTTTTCAGCTCCTGTATCCTGCAGTGGGCACCAGCCCAATGCTGGCCTCTGACTCAGTTTACTTTTCCACCCTTCCAGCAAGCCTTTCACTATCCTCTTTACAGTACTCTTCATCAGCTCCCCTTTGGGCAACAGAAATGAAGGCGCCAAGAACAGTGGGCATCGGACCCCCAAAGGTGGCCCCTCTGAAAGGGGACACTGGTGGCAGATGTGTTTTGGGGGTTTGTCACCTCCCTTCCAGTGGACAAAATTACTTTGTCTCCCTGTGCTTATGTTTTCTGAGCTCTCTCAACAACAAAAATTTAAAAGATTTGTCCTTTTTTTCACAATCTGAAGCCAAGCGTATGTCAAGAACACACAACTGAAACTAGGTGTAGTTGAAAAATATACTGGTCACTTTTTATTGAGCACCAAAGTGGCAGAACCTGTACACATCCAAGCACCAGGAGCCCAAACCGGGAGCCTAGGGCTGCTGCAGATCCTCGGCTGCTGCAAGGCAGGGCAGCTCCGCTGGCACCGCCGGCAGCGCTTGAGGATCCGGAAGGCCGTGAGCATTGCTAGCACACAGTGATACAGGTAAAGATTCTTATAGCACCAAACATGCTTTAAAGTGTACATGGGAACGTTAAAACCAACCTACATTAGTGATTCCCTGCTGTGCTTCACAAGACTGTTGTCAAGCCATTTGTTTTTGGAGAGAGGATAAGCTGAGGACACCTCATTTGAGCTGTGTTTTCTTTTCAACGTGCGGTGGATGTCAGTGTGGAAAACACAGCTTTTAGACAAGTCTCTTCTGCGGCTTTTGTTTCCGAGTTTGACAATTAATCACTTGGAAAGAATTAACTTGACAAAACCCCAAGCATTATAGCACCAGAAGGAAGGGTGATGTCTCTGATAACACCCAGTAAACACAAATTCATCCACAAAGTATTAATTTGTCAATTTTCTTTAAAAAAAATTCCTTTTGCAAGTAGAAAATATCTTTACCATCCCATCCAGCAAGGCGGCCAGGTACGTGTCTGTGTAGCTACAAAAAAGCAGCCACTGAAGTGAATGTGTCCACTCAAATTAAGAATATTTTTGGATGCTTTGCAAGATCAGGTTGAGATCTGAATCTTGCAAATTTGTTAATACTCAAGACATGTTTTTCAACTGGATCCTCTGATGGCTTTAGGCACTGAATTTTTTATTTAAAAAAAAGAACAGTTTGGCACTTACTCTTTGGGACTTAGTGGTAACCATTGAAGGGCTTTGCTCATTTCATCAGCATCTCATTCTTCCGCAAAAAGTAATGCTGAGAAAAAATCAATGCATTTCACTGAGCAGCACCTAGGAGCAAGGCTGCATTAAGACTTTCATTGTGAGCTGTGTTGCTTTAAGTTGTCAATAGCGTCAGTGGCAAGTTTCCGGCCTAAACTGAGATTGGAACTACAAAATGCAGATGGCATCCTGTCTCTCTGCAGGAGTTAAGGTATCATTGTATGAAGCAGCACATGATAAAATTCTAGAAATAGATCTGTCCAAGTTGCATTTAATGCCTAACTTGGAACAAAGGCACAAAGAAGTGAATGGAGTTCAGCAAATGAAGGTATTTAGGAAGATGTGGAGCCCTTCCTCTATTCCTTTGCTCTGTAAAGCATCGAGGAGCGTGCCTGGTTATGATAGGAAACAGAAGAGCAGTTTGGCATCTTTCATCTTTCCAGCTGCAAATGTCATATGCAAAGTATCAAGTGTTTTATAGGCGTCTTAGCTTTGGCTTAAAACATTTGGTGAGTGGAAAAAAATCCCATAGTTTGTGGGTGGAAGCAGGCACTTGTATTTGTGAATTGGGTATTTATATACACCGCTACTACTCTGCATATTAAAATGCTAATTTTATGCATGCAAATGGGAACGCATACTAAACAAGGGAGCAAACATGGCTTCTTTTGCCTAGCAATTCTGGCAGATTTGTCAAAATGAAATGCAACTGTCCCTTTAGGACTGCCACAGAAAAGGAAAACATTCATGGAAAATGTGTTTTCCATTTTATAATGTTAAACAGCCAAAAGAAGCTGTAAGGCCAAAATACAAATAACTTGACCTTAAGGATTTATGAAAGTCAACATAAAGGTACAGGGCTCCTAAAAAGCAGTTGCCCATCTGCCAGACAATCCTTTTGATCACACAAATTTATCCTGCTTTCTCTTTTCTAATATGTTCAACAAATAATCCAGACTTCAGCCCTCTTGCTGAGGTTTTGCAGGTACAAAACTGCAGATGGACATTTTGTGAGTATTAACTGTGCTGGCTAAAAACAACAACTTAAAAAGACTGGCACACATGTGTGTCTGCTTAGATATTGGAGAAGGAAATCTATTCCACCATTAGCTCTCAATCTGCAGCTCACCAGACTGAGAAGCTAAAGGAAAGTAACTTAAAAAAAAAAAAACCATCAACCATTTATAAAACCTGTTTTGCTCCTAGCTCAGAGTTCCTCAAATTCTTAAGATTTCAGGTTTAGGCTTGTAGACTGGCGTGTACCCTAGGTATAAATAGGAAAAGAAGAAACCTGCAGGTTTCTTCGAACTTTAAGCTTATGAAAAGGCTTATATAAAGTAGTTGTTCGAGATAGGCAGGCACTGGATTTGATCCAGAGAACCCCCTTAGTCTTACATTCTTGCCTATTTAAATGTAACTTAGATATGGCATTTAGATACAATTTTGACGTCACTTCATTTTTATAATACTGAGCTATGTTCATGGTCGTGAAACCTGAATCGGTCACATAACACGCACATAAAGGGCAGGCTCTGTTCCAGCAGCCTGATAATGGGGCTGTGGCTTATAGGGATCTGCTCAGAGGTATTTACATTTCATTGCTAGAAGGGCAGCTGATAAATGGTGTGGTTTCTTCCAGGGGATCACATTTCTCCCCCTGTTGATAGGCTTAAAATCTAGACTTAGCCCATTCCTTGAGTAAGGAAGTCTTTTTATCACTGGTGGGCAGGGATCAGGGTAATGCTGGAGACGTGCTCGTGGAGATTTGGGACCAGAATTCTTCCAAAACAGAAAACTGTTGGGTAAAGCAATCCTTGACAGCTGCTTAACGGTGTAGTCCAGCTGGGTGAAAATCAAACAAAAAAAAAAAAAAAGAGGAATTAAAATATTTATCCTTCCTGGGATGTTTGCACAGAACTTGTCCTTATGTAGCTGTGTAATCTTAACTGTCAGCCTGACGTAGGTACATAAAGGACACACTGAACTGCTCTATTTTCATAACTGCCAGTTAAGATCAAGTTAGTTTTAAAGTGAAGCTTAAAGTGTTGAGAAAACCATCTTGGGACAGACCTTTGGTATAATCAACATTTTTGTTCTTGCCTAATTCAAAGACTGATAAAATGACTGGAGTTTTTTCAGTTGGCTTCGCTCTGGCCAGATACACGTACATTTACTCATGAGGGGGTCACACTGTTCAGTGCAACTGCTCACACACATAAGGTTACCCCACAAAATCACCCCTAGGCCTAAATATTTGCAAGACTGACCCTTCCTGCAATCAGTCCAGAGTAAAGACCTTTTAAATTTATCTTGCAGGAGCAGTTATACCTGCATTAGAAGAAGCCTCTAAACAGAAAGTTTAAAGTCTTAAGGCTCATAAAGTTTTGCAGCACTTATTTTTCATCCTGAAAATCACTCCATCCTCTAAACACCCACAAGGCAAAGGTTCTTCAAAGAAATCAGGCGCATCTTGCGAAATTAGAATAAAAAGTGGGAGGGGTAGAGTGAGAGTTGGGAAAGACATTAACTTCTCCATGGACAGTTTGCAGAGCTCCATCTCCAAGGTCACAGGTTCTGGGGATACTTTTACAGCACCATCTGTTTGTCAGCATAGGTGTTTCAGCTCAATTCATGGAGATTGAGGTATGCACCCTACCTAGTTTTAAGGTGCTGTCCTTATGCTAGTGTAAGAGAGGTAATTTTGCCCTCAAACAACCATTTCTTTAAATAATTGCATACTAAGCACCAACTATTTTCACCCAGCTTTCCCTTTATTCACAGGACACTTACCTGGGCACACCTTTGATTAGCCTAAATGCTTCTGCTGGTTTTTCACATAGCCGACCACATTGTTGGAATTGCTTCCTTTAAAACAAATATGAGCAAAGTTAGATTTTAAGTTAGTCTGTGGCAAATGTTTTCTCACGATTCTCTAAGCAGTACAGCTTTACTGGTCTCATTATTTAGCAGTTCTCTGGGAGAGCTGCAGTAGCCTGCTGGACAGAGGAAAGGAAATCCTTTCATAGCTTTATTAGCTAAACTGGCCAAATTTGGCTGGTCGTAAATCTTACTGCATCAAAGATGTTGTCTAGTTATATCTGAATATCACTTCTAATCATATCTGACTCTCCCCCTCTAGATCCAAGAGTTAGCAGAAACCAGAAGCTTTGAAGCCATGAGAAAAGAGATCCTCTAGAAGATCCTCCTGCTTTTTTGGAGACACGTATCTATCAACCCATGCAGGGGACCTGGCACCTCTTGTGGCTGCAGATAACAGCATGAGACTGATTCACTGGGCTCCAGTCATCTCTTACCACATACCACGATACAAGCTCTTGGCAAAAGACCCTGCTTTTGACAGAGTTCTGTGCTCATCTGGGCCATGAGCAAAGCTCCAAAAATATACTTAAAAATAACAAAAGGTTATTGGATTGGGTGTTTCTCACCCCTTGGGTGGGAACCCCTGGCAGAAGGCTGCACCATTTAACACATTGTGTCACAGCTGGATATACTGATTCTCAAGAGTCCACAGTCAGGTCATTGCAGATCTTAAAGGAGAGTTGAGGCTAAAGAATCTCTTTTTGCTATGTGCAAACCTTAATTTCATAAACAACAAATTCCTTGTAACCAATGCAGTAACTACAAAGCACAATAACAGCAAACACTTCATGCCAGTGGCTTACCAAAATATTCCTTGTAATACTTGTGCCTCAGGTTGCGTCCATCTGAAAAAGAAGGTACGTAATGAGAACGTATCCAGTCAGGCTTCATTCTTTCTGTTAAATTCCGGCCTTCTGTGTGCAGCACAGAGAAATTATAGATATGGAAATAATAACCGCACAAACAGGAAAATAAAATCTCTCTGTAGCTGAAGTTGTGTAGGCAGCTATAAACCTCTTCTAAAACTGTTTAGATTATTGAACTATGTGGACACAACTTGCTTTCCCTGAGAGTGGTTAACTGCTGCCCACTAGCACGTTATGTTCTTTTCAGTAGCTATGGGTCAAGGGATCACAGGCTTTCTCAAATGAAAGAAAATTTGGGTAAAATTTCAGACCATTTATTAGTGTCCAACATAATTCAGGTTCCAGCTAGGTTTTTCTGTTTACCATTTATATAATTATTTAAGCTTTTAGGAACACCTTGTGTCTTAGAGCCATACAGCTATAAATTACATTAGTTACAATGGGCGTTACTAAAGAAAAAAAAAGAGAATAAAAAGAATAGAAGAGATGGTCAAAAAGCCCTGGAAAAAATCCAAGTCTTTCATGGAATCAGTTCGGAGATCCGGTTTGATGCTTCCCCTGGCTTTCACAGTGACCAAATGGCAAAACTGATGTCTCATGTCTCTACACCATGATGATCTGTAGCCCAGTGCAGACATACATTCAATGAAGTTACACATACCTAGACATGTTATGAGCTTTCCTGGAAATAGCTTGGCCTATATAAGTTCCTTTATTGGGCAAATGTGTCAGCAGAATAAAGGGAACAATGTTTTGGATGCAGAAAGCAAAGTCGGAAGTCAAAACTGGAATCTGAAATTCATATTTCTTAGTTAAGTGTGTAGTAGTATATAAATACTTTTATTATTTGTGCTGAGTAATAAGGGCATATGCAGGTTACTGCCTGCTCTGGTTACACAATTCCAGAGGACGTGGGCATACAGAGCAAAAAAGTGTGTCTCCTGCTTTGGGTATTTCACATAGCTCAGCCAACCTCAAGGGCATTAGAGATGGAGATTGCTGCAGAGTGGGGACTGTCTCCCAGACCAGCTGTCACACACTTGGGATGCCCAGAAAACCCAGGAAACCCATGAGAGCAGATGTACCACCAGATCTCCTCCAAAGCCAGTGAGAGCGTGCCGTCCCTTACTGGTGTTTGCATGGCAGAACAAGATAGGAAGGGAGGTTTCCAGTCAACTGACCTGGATTTCCACGGAGCTTGATGCACTGGCCCCTGTTAGGGATTCCTTCAGCCGTGTTTCCTGGGTTGATGATATGGCATTCATAGCCTGTGGGGCAATGCAGAGGCTCATCTCCATCCTCAGTGGTACTGCAGGCCTCAGCTGCAAAAGAAGCCTGCAGGTCATAAATCATGGCTTTGCCATCCACAGGTAACCAAAATATGACAACACGGCCACCTTCTTCTGTATCTCCTCCCAGACAGGATCTCAGACTACTTGCCAGGCAAGGGTACCAAAGAGCTAACACCTCCCAAGAGGCCTGGCAGAGCAGGCGATCCAGTTCATATCTCACAAAACCCCCCGATGTGTCTAGCCTGACATGGGGAGTGCAGGTCAGCCCGATTGCCTGTAACAACACTCTGCCCACAGCCTGTCATGCAGGGTCTGTGCGAGGGCTGGAGAGTGGTGAAGATGGACCACTGCTGACCACCATGCTCGCACTGATGGGTGGTCCCTCCTTTTTCCTCCAGGCAGCCATAAGTCTGTTCCAGCCAGGGTTTTGGGCTGGGTGAGGAATTGGGGAAATGTGACCAGGAAGCTGGCAGTTTGCTGCTTTGTTCTTTGCTCCACACCCATTAGCTTACTGGTGAATTTAAACCTCAGATGTGACTCACTATGGAGTAAGGCAGAACCACTCCCTGTTACAAACAGAGGCTTTAACCACCTTGACCCTGGATTTTCAACAAGTGCAGAGCAGAAAAAGAAAGAAAAGCAGGACTCACAGGCAGTGTTTGTGTCCATTAAATGTACAGACTATGCAAGGACACCCCACCCTTTCATTTCCCAGGATTTTAATTGCAAGGACCTCTGCTGCAATTCTCATGCCATGACTGATGGTTCTTATTTCACTAATTACTCCCTCAAGCTGAGACGAAGGTGTTGAGATAAGAACAAATAATATTAGCATGACAGGAATGGATGAGGAGGAACCTATTTTATCTTATTTTTAGCAGTGCAACTCCAATGAGCTGGAGCCAGAATTTTCTCTTGAAGAACCAGGAGTTTCCACAATAGATTCAGTGAGTCTGATACCATCTGCATAAGACCAAAGAGGGTAATTTATTGGCACTACCGGTGTCTGATTAAAGCTGTTCAAAAGCTGGAATAGCCTTTCCATGAAGAAATTTAAGAACTTCAGGCATACATACATCTGGGGATGTCTTGTAGAAGAAAGCTTCTCTTCCCACCTCCCCACTCCCTCCTTGTTTCACTTTGAGATACTGGAAAAAATTAATGAAAAGACCTTTCTCTGTGGAATTAACCTGAGAAGCCCAATCTCATTAGCAGTCGCCAAGCTTAGATGCTCCCAGCTCCGTGCCAGCTTGACACAACTCTGCAGCAGTTTGCCAGGGCTCTTGTTCAAAGCAGCCTTCAGACCTGAGAGCCAGAGCCCCAGCCCAAAGCATCTGTATGGTGAGGCCACTCTGGATTAAGAGACCTCCTAATCCAAGTCTGCCCACAGTCTATCAGGCAGCTGGAAGAAAATCTGTATATGCTGACAAAGCCTTTTTCTAAAAAAATATGTATTTCTACTTATTTCAAGAATGGATACAAATCCAGTTCCCTGGAATATTCCTAGTGCTCTGCTGGATAATCCATATACTTAAAAAGCTGCTGATTTACTGCACCAGAAACTAGCCCTCTGCACAACAGAGCGTTATTCCGATGGGAACTCCAGACAAATACCACCAGTGCCAGCATCCCAACAACCCTGGCAAGCCCTGTGTATGATGAATACATTATTTAGTGCCTTTTGTATAATTACCGATCTCATGGAGAAGACAGTGAAATGTACTGTACCTTGTAAGACTTCCTCTGGGCCATCCAAAAGCCACCCATTTCCTCCCAGCCAGCGGGGTTTGGGCTGAACCAACCAGTCTAAAACTGTAAAAGACAGAAACAAGAAACCACAGGGTCAAGGTGGAATAGGAGCAACACAGTTACGGAAAAGTCCCAGACTTCCTCTAACAGCCAGTGAAGAGGCTGCCAGGCTCCTGAAGGATGGGTTTGAGTTTTCAGCAAGATACTTCTATTCATGCTATTGTTTCCCTAGTGGCAAGGGAGCCATGGATGTCAACCAGGGCCCCAAGAACCTGGTGTCATAAAAGCCAAAGCAGCTGCTGTTTCCCATCCTCCATTCCCATGGCATGGATCCGATGAGATGGCTGCCTGGCTTCTGTGAGCACAAATTCAGATTGGGATCACTTCTTTTCCTGACTATATAATCCCAGGAAAAGAACTGGCCTCAAATGATTACTACCATTTCTGCTGGTGGAAATGTTGCAACACCAGCTGACCTTGGATAATTTCTTGATTCAGCAATCATCCCAGAATCAAAGAATCACAGAATGGCAAGGGTTGGAAGGGACCTCGGGAGATCATCTAGTCCAAACCCCTGCTCAAGCAGGTTCACCTAGAGCATGTTGCACAGGACATCATCCAGGTGGGCTTTGAATATCTCCAGAGGACACTCCACAACCCCCCTGGGCAGCCTGTTCCAGGGCTCTGTCACCCTCAAAGTAAAGTTCTTCCTCATAGTCAACTGAAACCTCTTATGTTTCAACTTTGTGCCCATTGCCCCTTGTCCTGTTGCTGTGCACCACCAAGAAATCAGAAGTGTGGAGCCAAAGGTTTATCCCCAACTCACACTCAAGCCATGCCTCCCACCTGAGACCCAATGCACATGGAGATGAGTACCACCATGTCTGCATGCTTCTCTCTACCATCATTTAATTGCTGGGTCCACTCTACCTGGCGGTGGCTGTACAGACTCCAAGCATGCATAGATGCACCCGTTGTAGCAGCAACGCTTGTGCCTTTCACACTCTGAATCCGACCGGCAGCTGGGCACCTCGCAGGCTCGGTCAGGCAAAGTCTGGGGCGGTGGGGGGCAGCGGTCGTTCTTCTGGTAGTGGGAACTGTGAGAATGAAGAGGGTACTCATAATCCTTGCAAAGAAAAGAAAAGGAAACAAAGGTTTGGCATAAGGTGAATACCAAACATCCCACCAGTTGAAACAGAAGGGGGATTTTCAAAGTGGTTTTCAAGTATTTGAATATTAGAGAGGAGAATTAACCATTCAGCTCCCCCAGGCCTGTCAGAGCTATGTGATCACCTTCGCACACTGCTTTGCAAACACCAAACCACCAAATTATTGTGTGGGACTCATTTTATAATTAAGGTTATTGTGATGTCAATGAGGAGGTAAAAAAAAAAAATCCTTTAAAGTCTTTTGAACTGGGAAACACAGAGAAATACTCCAGGCATCCTCATGATGAGCACGCCAAACCATTTTGATAGTAAAGCAGTGGAAATGATGACACTGTGTTGTTTTGAGGTTACATCCCCAAATGGGACCTGAAATGAATGTCTCACGTAGCAGCTGTCTCCTCAATAGGCTCCTTCTACCTTCATCACCTTCTTCTGGACCAGAACTTATAGGGGAGTCTTTCAAGCTTAGCCACTGTGGGGTCCTGGCTTGTTAAATTAGAGACCATTTCTAAAACATGAGATGATCCGGGTGAGATCTGTGTGGGTGATGTCAGTTTAAAACCAAAGAAAATGGGGCGATGTTTGACTATAGCAGAAAGGACCCCAGCTGCTCATTGCACACCGAAAGGACAAGGGAGATTTAAAGTGGATTAACAGGCACAGGATTTTACCAGAAACATTTATAAGAGGCAGCATTCAGATATTATTCACACTGGCAGCATTTTAGCAAGAAGCCAACTCCTTCCAACAGAGAGGTGAATCACCCAAGCCCACTCCTTTCTCACTTGTGGCTAAACTACTCATCTCTGGGCTTGAGCTCAGCTCCCCAGAGCAGCATAAAGTACTCAGAAAGGGCAATTGGTTCTCAGATTTATTAACAAACATTAATAAGCTGTAATCAAATCAAAAGATGGATTCTGGATTTGCACTTTTGAAAGAGATAAGCATCTAGCCAGAGGTAAGAAGTGAGCATTGCCATGCACTCGCTAGCAGGCTATTGAGTTTAGGAGTCCTACATATACTTGGCCCAATCACTGCTGTGTTATGAAATCAGTGATGAACAACTGGGATTGTTATTCCAAGAAACAACATGGTGCAACTGTCCCCGAGGGGGTCTCCAGGAAATTTCACCATCAGGCTATGGAGAAATTTGAGGTGAGACTAATATCCCTCTTTATCTACATGCTGCTACATCCTCATTGTTGAAAGCTCCCATCGGCTTCTGTGGAGCATGCCATGCGCCTTTGCGAAACAACATGCCCCCACATGTACTGTCCAAAAAAATGTCCTAGGAGAGGCCCCAGGAGGTCCATTGCCCTGGAGACTGACTGCTGGCCCACACAGCCTCTGCTGCTATGTGTGACCGAGCAGCAATCAATTATCAGGAACGGTGAAAACAATATCATCTATGGATGAAAAGCTAGACATGAGCCGGCAATGTGCGCTGGCAGCCCAGAAGGCCAACCGTACTCTGGGCTGCATCAGGAGAAGTGTGGCTAGCAGGTCGAGGGAGGTGATTCTGCCCCTCTACTCAGCTCTGGTGAGACCTCACCTGGAGTACTGCGTCCAGCTCTGGAGCCCTCAGCACAAGAAGGACATGGAACTGTTGGAACGGGTCCAGAGGAGGGCTACAAAAATGATCCGAGGGCTGGAGCACCTCTCCTATGAGGACAGGCTGAGAGAGTTGGGCTTGTTCAGTCTGGAGAAAAGGAGGCTACGGGGAGACCTGATTGCGGCCTTCCAGTACCTAAAGGGGGCCTACAGGAAAGATGGGGAACGTCTTTTTAGTAGGGCCAGCTGTGTTAGGACAAGGGGAAATGGTTTTAAACTAGAACAGGGTAGGTTCAGGCTAGAGGTAAGGAGGAGGTTTTTTGCAGTGAGGGTGGTAAAACACTGGAACAGGTTGCCCAGAGAGGTAGTGGAGGCCCCATCCCTGGAAACATTCAAGGCCAGGTTGGATGGGGCTCTGAGCAACCTGATCTAGTTAGCAGTGTCCCTGCTCACTGCAGGGGGGTTGGACTAGATGACCACTAGTGGTCCCTTCCAACCCTAAACATTCTATGATTCTATGATTCTATGACCTTCGCTCCCTTGGGATAATTTGTAACGTAGAGAATGAAGGGCAATCCCAAGGGGCACCAAAAGAAACAGCGATGTACATTGTTTGGGGGACTGATGTGAGAAATTGTACTTCCATGCTGTACATAGCATAGAGTCGTACTGACAAGGGGGGGTGGGTTTTACACCAAAGCTCACCTCTGTTCTTTGAGCCATAGCTAGGGGGAAACGGAGAGCAGCGAAGTTTTTCCCATGCCTGGTGGCACAAGGATTGTCAGCCAATGCAGAAGTATAGAGAAAAGTCAGGATGATTAAAAGTCTCACTTTCTGTTACAAGGTGTATGTTAAAGAAAATCCATATCCTGGTTATATCTATAACTGGTTAAATAATGTGTATGTGTGTGTGAGAATTCCTAATATTTCCACAAATGACAGCCTCCTGCCCTGTTCCTAGTATCAGCCTGCCCTGTACTCAGTATCAAGAAACAATTTTATTATGCTTTTCCCTTAGTTTTCTCCACAAGAAACTGCTCAAAAACCCTTCTGTGAGGTTTTCCCATGAATTCATAGGCTGTCTGAACCGCAAAATAGGTTTGAAAAAAAAAAGCATTTCCTAATTTTGATGATTTCAATGTTAAAGTGTAAAACAAGGTGTAAGCTATCACGTCATCCCATTCCTCAAAAGCTGAAAACACTCTAGCTTTGAAACAATGTACTTTTGAATTGAAGATATTGCAAGTTCAACTTTCTTTGCTGTTGTTGGATTTTAAATAGAGAAAATGCTTGGACCAAGTATGATTTCAGGATATGAGAGAGCATTTAACAATAAATCCATGCAGTTCCAAACATCTAACAGGTCTCCTTCATCCTGGAAGGTCGCAGTTTGCTGTTCTATTATTTGAAATGTCAGCTGCAGACTGAAATGTGACCGAAATAACACTGGCAAAGAATGGATACATGGCAAAAAAAAAAACCCCAAACCCCATACATTACTGCAGCCGCTTCACAGGGGATTCAGAAACCAAGAAGCCAAAATTGCAATGAGCAGTTGGCTCAATGAATGAGATTTCCATTTGGGAACAATATAACATTTTTAGCCAAATAACTTTGTACCTCATGACCTCCCTGCCCATTTTCTCTGTTCACCTATTGCTCTGAACCCCTTTCTTTCAAAATCTCATGGTCAAAAAAATTTTTTGCGCATTTGATCTAATAAAACTGTTGCTGCTGGTTTACATATAAACCATCCCAGTGGGAAACAGCATCCCCTCATTCCCAGAATAGCCTGGTTGAGGATGTCTCCAGGGATGGGTTACAAGGTCTTTTAAAAAGCTCTTCCAGGATTCTCCCAGGCAACTCCCTGTTTGGCTCTGAGCATAGCTCAGATTTATTATTTTTACAGGTTGTGGCAGCAGTCAAAATTTCTTCCTTTAAGAATATTTTTCAATGCAAGAGGCAAATTGCTGTTTCCTGTGGAGACTTATTAAATCATTTTAATGACAATATCTGCCTTAGACATATCCAGAAACAAAGTAAGGGGAAAAGTTCAGAGTTCAGATGAGGAACCCTGGAGGTCACTAAAGATGACTAGGAAAAATCTGAATGCAACCACTCACTCTCAACCCATTTTTTCAGCAGTAACTGCGGGATGCAGCCTCCTGCCTCCAGAAAATTCCAGATCTGTTCTATTATTTGTGCCTGAAACTGGACCCTGGGCTTGTGTCAAAGCATAATACTCTGCTAATTCATATTCTGCACGGCCGCCCCCAAGATCACGCATGAGGTTTTTTCCCAGCCTCTGGTCACCAGTTCTGCCCCTAGCAGGTTATTTCCAAACACTGGCCATAAAACACCTTTGCTCTGAAACAATACACAGTCAGGAGGAATTTAGAGCCCTCCAATATTTCTATCAAAGACCTGGAAAAACATCATCGGTGACCAAATTTACACACACCAGACTGAAGGAAGGCTAAATAATCTGAAGGACAAGATCAAAACAATAGGAATAATATTATCCTGCTATTGACTCTGGATTAGCAGCCTTGGTTCTGGTGTCTACAGTACTGGAAGATTGTGGCAAAATTAGGGTGGGCTCAAAGAAGATGCACGATAGCGATTAGAGGACCAGAAGGTGGGGAATACAGCTCAAGACTTATCTTCAGGTTTCAAAGGGGAGGCCGAAGGCTGCTCTGCTCTTACGTTACTTCGAGGCACGGGCAGGACAGAACTCTCACGGGAGGTGTGCTAATCTGGCAGACGAAGAGGGTAGCTCAGTGCTAATTTATGACAGCCAGCCAGAGGGTAAACAAATTGTTGGAAGAACATTACAGCAGCTGCGAGGAAGTCTTCATTTCTGGAAATCTTTAAAAGAAGGCTGGATTTTTTGCTAAAACGCTTGATGCAGTTGACACAGGAATAAAATCAAGACTGCTCTGGATTTTTCCAATAGGCATGCGGGTGTCTTGATAGTGAATTGAAGAGCACCTCCAGGTAGCTCCCTCCCTCTGCCCTTTGGGAAGAGTCCATAGCCTGTGCAGGGGCTGCAGAACACCAGCTGCAAATCACTAAACTTGACAAGCATCCTGCTGGCTGTAAAATACATGGATTTCCTAAAAGCTGGAAGCCCAGCCCCTCCATCCCACTGTGACTGCCAGTTTTTGCTTGTCACTGCATTCCCTCTCCTCTTTCTCCCTTCTCCATTCCCACTTGGCCCCTCCTTCCCAACCAACACCCTTCCGCAGAGTCCTTAACAAAAAACTCTTGGCCAGACCTCATCGTAGCACCTGCGCGTCATTCCGCAGCCAGCAGTTTGGTGGATACATTGCTCCTGCTGTGGACTCAGATTTTTTGGACTCAGACAACATCACTCTCAGTCAACCTTCTACCCCTCACTGCCTCTTCCCCCCACGGACCTTGCCCATGTCCTTCTGGGGGTCCCACAGGGATGTCCATGGCCCATCTCCTGTACGGCTGCATGTTGCCGTGAGCGCCTCCATCTGTTACCCCTCTATCCAAGTGACTCACAAATCAGCTGTTCCACCCACAGCCTGTGATTTTCGAACTGTAGGGAACATGCAGCATTTGGTAGAAAGGAAAGCATCTCTCTGAGAAACAAGAGGGGCTGCCAGAACTGTCTCTTGGTGGGTAAGAGGATGGAGAGTGGACGCCTTCCTCCTTATAAGGCTTTGAGGAGAAGGAAAAAGAAAAGCAGTTTCTGTTTTCCCTAGATAAGGTGTTTCCATCAATATGAGCAATTCCAGCTGCGCTTGCCAGATCAGTAGCACCTGGATTCCCAGCTGCCAGAAAAAACAATCCTTTGAAGAACTGCAGATTGAAAGAAGAGGATATATCCTGGGGGAGCGGGCTCTGTGCTTCTACAGAGCATGTTATCTGAAGGTCAACATGTAAATTCCTGTTCTACTCCTGTCCTACCTCTCTGGGTCATTTGCTTCATAACTCCTATTGAATTTGAGCTTTGCATTGAAATATGACAGAAGAACATACTAATAAATGCACTTTTCAGTGAGTCATTTTGCAGGCAACACAGCTCTTCACGTCACTATTTTCCAATTAAAGAGCAAACCAGATGATACCCTGTCCCAAGGGAGGCTACAATGAAGAAAATTTCTTATTGTAAAGTGCTGGGGTGCCCTTTAAATATTAGCACAATGTTTTCTGCAAAATTTGAAGGAGACAAGAGCACCGTATTTCAGTTCATTCAGCACCAGCAAAACACGTGTCACGCTTCTGAGTCAGCAATAGCACAACCCAAATGTAGCCCAAACCCAAACATCACTCTAGATATCACCAGCAAAAAAGCATCCATTTAAAATTAAAAGCTTTTATATGTGGCTGCCAAAACCAGGTGGAGGAATCCCTCTGCGACACCAAGGAGCTGTTGCACATGCAACGGCTGGAAGGTGCAGTCAAACCCGGGCATGAGAAAACAGCCTGGGGCTGGGGCTTCCACCTAAGCGATTCAAGGGGCAGAAGCCTGGGGTCAGTGCTGGCTTCTAAGGGGACTTTAATGGAGTAAGTCAAAATTTCAAATTCAAATTTTTTTTTCTTTCTAAACAGCAGGTCCTGAAAGTCAAGCTATCAAATTATTTTCCTTTTTTTTTTTTTTTTTTTTTTTTTATTACCTCCATGGCCATCTCTAACAAGTCTTTTGGCCCAGAGACACCAGAACAAGACCCAGCACCATCCTTTTATCCACTCACAGTAACTTGTTGCTGCTTCAGTTTCAATTCCAGCAGTAACTCTAAGTACCACTGCAGATTTGGAAATTTTGTGCTCAGTACCTCACTTGGCAAATAACCACACGGCTCCTTATCCCCTCTGACACACCGGGCAGGCACAGCCAGCGCTCCCTGGGCGCACAGGGGACACCGCAGCCTCCGCAGCTCCGTGCTGTGTTTTCTTGCGCAGAGCCCCCTGCCCTTCCCCGGTTTGTTCTTACTTGGGATGGCTTGAGGATAAGAAGGCGGCTTAATGTGTGATTGGCACCTTACTCTGGATCTGGAGGTCTCTGTGGTTTACAAAACCCTAGGCAATGTCACCACCCCTCTAGTACACATTATCACTAGGAGTTGGAGATATTTACCCAAAGTTAACCCCAAAAGGCAGTGGAGGAACTGGGCAAGGAACCCTCCTCCCCGCTCTGTGCAATGAATAACATTATCTTCTTTTCACTAAATCTATCCCCAGACACATAGGTTTTGCATTCCCCTTCTCCCCGTCCACACTTCCCTTGCTGCCCTATGAATTTTCTAGGAAACACAGCGACGGCTGCCGTACCAATGTCTTCTCACCGCTCCAAGCGTGCTTTACAAGTTTCCCATTGCAGCAGCTAGGTGGCAAAAGTTTAGCACAGCCTGGGAAACTTGCTGCAAAACTTATAAAGAGACAGCCTGCGGATTCAAATACTTCTTATTCTAAAATGATACACGCACATAAAGATAACTCCCCTTTCGCAGTGAGAATGCCCAGCTCCCCGAAAATCACGCCACCGCAGTTTACTCACATCATATTTCTCCGTCATTTTCAGATGTAGAGCACGCTTCCAGAGATTCCTTGCACAGCCCGAATCCAGCAGCAAAACTAAGACACACAAGGCTGCAGTGAAGATCTTTTTACAGAAATGTATCTCTGACAGCACCCTGGAATCCATTTTCCCAAGGAGAGATGAAACAAGGAGCCCGGCTTTCGGGATCCAGACGATTCAGAGTCTTGGCAAGGAGGGAAGGAGACGGGGAGGGAGGGAGAGCGAGGGCTGATCGCTGGTGAGAGCCGCTTTTCGCTGCGCAGCTTCTGGGAAGGGAAAGGGGGAAAAAAAAAAACCAAAAAACAAAGGAGCTCACAAGCAGAAGCCAGGAGCTGCTGTTGAACTTCTTTAGTCAAAGTTAGCTCAGGTTCTCAGCTCACATGTTCACACAAAGCACATGCTCTCCTTGAATGATAGATGGGAAGATTATTTGGAAAGATTATTTTTAGACCTTTGTTCCTAACATCTGGCATCCTCGGAGAGCCCCATTCAAAGCCAAAGCGTGGGATCAGATGACAGCTGCCGCAGGGGGAAATAAAGGTCTTGGAGGGGTGGGCTCGGCAGCTTCTAGCAAACAGCTCACCCAAACTTCCCAAGCGACTTGGCTCTCCCTTTGTGTGCTTCCCACTGTGCCCTGAGCTGTGGTTTTGGATCATGTTTTGACAAAGTGATAACTTCATATGAAGATTTATCGAAGGAAATGATTTAAAGACTTTATAAGCATGCAGGGGCTTTAATTAAACCAAGCTGATGTTAGCTTTCTGCAAATTATTTTGAAGAAGGGGAAGACATAGCCCTTGGGGAAAAATAAATTCGTATGCATGGGTGGGGAATAGGGAAGGAAGGTGGTTTAGAAATGACGTGACCAAATGGAAAGCAAGGAAGGGGACGTGAGTCAGGCTGTGCCTGACAATGGGAGAGACAGAGAGACTGGACATGGGATATTAGACACCGACATGGACATTCAGGCACCCAAGAGCCTGAAGGACAAGAATGCACTTACGAAATCAGGCTGCAAGCATCCCAGCATCCTGCCTGGGACGGGGACAGAGGCAGCTGCCACAGAAAAAGTATGAGAACAGGGAAACTGTTATGTATACCTGAGTATAGGTAAATATATACATTTGTATATGTATGCATGCACATACTTTCACAGCCTTCAGCAATGATGTTCAGGGCTTCCTGAGCCAAATGTGGGGGACATTTATTTTATAATCCTCCATGAATTTCTCCTCCAGCAGCTTGTCCAGCCTCCACCTGGAACAAAGGAAGAAATGGAACCACAAAGCTAGTTGAGATACGAGCGCTAAGCCCTGCTTGCCTTCAGTTTACCCTGGCTGCAGCCCTGCTCTATAGCCTAGCCTTGCTGGATGCACTGAATTTATTTTATATCTGCTGTAAAATGGGTCTGCACAGGAGTGTTAGACATTGTGAAAGAACGCAAAAAACCCTTCCAGTTCTTCCTTATACCTGAAAGCGGTGGCGAGCCACTTTGACCCATGCCTAAGTGTCAATAGCTGCACATAGGTGGTAGTCAAAGCATTTAATCTCCAAGCTTGCCAGAATATGGGACATGGTTTAGTGATGGGATGGCAGGGTTAGGTTAACAGTTGGACTTGATGATCTTAAAGGTCTTTCCAACCTAAATGATTCTATGATTCTATGAATCTGAAGGAGCGAGGTCTGGCTTTTAAAAGCTCTTTATTTAATGTAATCTATTTGATTTATTCAGAGATAAGGGGTTTACATGGTTTCTAGCAGTAACTGTGCTTTGGGACAGTCCTGTCCACATCTCTACTGCTGTAGAAAGCTTCTTAGCAACAAAACTGGTTCAGTTCATGCCAGGGAATTTAGTTGGTAAGAAAAGCCAAGCACGGACTACTGTTATGCCAGGAAAGTAGAGAACAAAGGGTGGGGAAAGAGAACGAAGAGTTAAACTGCCTTGCCTCTGCCCAGAGTCTATGGGCTCCCAAAGGAGCCCTGATGGCAAGTGCCTTAGAGGGGATCTCTATGGAGATGCAATGACTGCATATTGCTCTGTGTTTGCATAATCTTCATCACTGCCTGATCCATAGATTGCTCCTACAGTAACATGACGGTTACTCCCAAAGGTGTGAGCAGGGTTTTGGGGGGCTGGCAGGATCTGAGAGGACCCCCCCCCCCATCGTTTCTCTCTCCCAGAGTTGTATTCACCCATTTAAAACAGTATTTATCTCAGTTTTCCTTTAATCCAGTCATTTCCTTCAGGCTGTCTTCTCTTCTGCATTTAATAAGGACGACTGTGGACAACTCATGTCCACAGGTCAGTCTATGGCTATGCAAAGCGACTCTAATGACTGAAGGCAGAGCTCAGCACCCACAGGTCACTGCCATCTCCACCCAAATCTCATCCAAATGTCATCTGAAATCAGCAGTTGGGCTGGAGTTAGTGAAAGGCACACTCAGACGTCTTCAGTACATCTGGAGAGGAATATATCACTACTGTAAGACTTCAGCTTGTGGCTTTATTTCTCATTGCTCAGAGAACTTTGACAAAACAGGATGCCTCCAATTCCTTTTAAAAACAAATCTCCCCTAGTCGTTGCAATATTAATATCTGCACCTTGATAAACCACCTTTCAGGCACAACCAGGAGCTCCCACCAGCTCTGACTCCTGTGTTGTAAGGTGACAAATGACATGGCCGGTTGCCCAGAATAAACAAGATTTTTTCTTAGAGTTTTCCTACTTAATTTATGTCTTTGTGCTGATATTTCACTTGTCTGTGCTCTTGCTGAAACTCAAATCAGAGTGAAACAACAACTGTTCATGATAAATCTCCCTAATTTAATTTCATTTTTGTTGTTTGTTTCATATACTTGCAATCTGGACTTGGAGCAACTAATTCTAAAGATTAATAGCTACTTCAGATACCATTTACTGGCCTTTCTTTTGGCAGATATACAGCTCTGACATTTACCCCAGAGAAACTAGGGTCCTTGCATTACTGTTCATGGATTGGATAGCAAAGAAGGGAGAACTCTCCTGCAGGACCAAACTTGCCACAGCTGGTAGTGGTCTTCACATAAAAATGAACGTTGATGTTATGACACTTAGGCCTCCTGCACACAATCATTTCACCTAACTTCCCAAAGTACTGCATGAAATGCCTGGACTGGATTACCCCTACTATCAGCTGGGGAAACTGAGGCATGGGGTGGGTGGTTTGCTGCAATTAGACCTTCTTCCACCTGCACAACCAAAATACAGCTTAGTATTGAGCCGAGCTTGTAGCAGCTCAGCCTAGGCCAGGGCTCTGTGCTTCAGCGCTCTACAGTCACATGCAATAGGGAATTCTTTAGGCCACCCATTTCCATTCCTCACATTTCTACCTCCAGTCTGTCTGGGATACTAGGCAAGGGATTTTACATTTTTTATAGGATTAAGAAAAACTTTTTTAGCGGCAACCTTGGAAAGAATATATTTCTCACCTTTTCTGGATATTCTTCTTCTTGGTAGTCCTTGGCAAGACTGTGTCATCACAGGACAACTGCAGGACAGCTTTAGCCCATTTCATATCCATATCTCCCTCGCATTTGGAGCCCAGTGCACACCTAAACCAAGAGAGACTTTAGTGCACTCAGTTATGGAGGCTCCTGCTACGGAGCAGTTCATGTCTTGTCAAGTTCACTTTTGAATGGCCCATTCAGAAAAAAACAAAAAAGAAGAAGAAAAAAAAAAAGAGAAGCAGCTTTGACTTTCTGAAGAATTTCTTGTTTAACAAAGCAGTTCTCGGCAGGTTTATGGCTCCAACTATTAGTATAAAGCATTCTTAGCAGCTTGTGAAGTAATTATAGGAATCAGGCACAAATCCTTAGCAAACACAGCCACTGGCAATAATTAGAAAATTGAAATTTACTGCTAAGCAGATTTCTGAGTTGTGTTACTTTAAATGCTAGGTATTTGGTGACGTGTGATGTTTTAAAAATGATTATTACAAGAAAGAGAGGAAATTAACTGCCGTTTTCTCTTAAACTACATCTTATCTGCACACAACAGTTGGGCCACAGTCATTTACTCTAAGTGGAGCAACTCCCTCTGGTGATGGTCACATCCACAGAAGGTTGCTGTATGGCTGCCCTGTGCAACGTGGAATAAGCGATGCTGGTATAAGACATCCTTGTATTACTCTAATGTCTCGGCTAGATTTG